ATAAGTGATTTATTATTATTATTATTAGGGCTTCATGTTCATGTTAATTTAATGTTTATGCTAAAAAAAAGTGCATACAGCTGCTAATTGTGTTTGTTGATTTTCAAATATAAAACTTATTGTAATGTTTTCAGTGTGTGTATCAGTTCTTTTTGAACATTTTAATCTAATTTTAACAAAACCGTGATAATATTGATAACCGTGATAACTTTGGTCACTATAATTGTGATATTAAATTTTCATACCGTTACATCCCTAGTGTCCTGTGTCCTTTAATTGCAAATACAATTAATTATTTATCAATTAATAATTTCATATTTCAAGCTAAACATTTGCACAATTAGTGTGAAAAGCTATAAAGGACAATTGGGAAGTCGATTTGAAATGCAGTTATATGGTCATGGCTGAACTCACTTTGCTGGAAGATTTGGCGAACCATGTGCTGCGCAGAGAACGCATTTTTCAAAAAGCGCTCTGATCTGTTTAGTGAGAGCACAGAATGGCTTCTAACTCAGTCAGTACCGCTTTCTTTGCCATGACTTTGGTGAGGACGTATACGTTCACGTGATAAAGGCAGGTATTGTCACCATATATGATTCATTGGAGGAGTTTCTGAATACAAATGACCATGAATGTGAACGAGTGGGATTTATCAACGATGATTACTTACTGGTGTGCGCAAGAACCGCGTGCGCATGTTTGAAAAATACAGATTTTTTTGTACTTACACACATTCTAAATTTCATTCGTAGGACAAAATATAGAACCTTTTCTACGCACTCTTGATAAATGAGGGCCCAGATTTTCCAGATCAGACTCAAACCTGGGTCCTCATTGACATCCCTGTTTGAATGTCATACCTGGATGATGTTTCCACCAAAGGTGCCCCTAAGCCCCTGCTGTTTGGGGTAGTAGAACTCATCGTTGGACAGATTCCAAGGATCTTTAATCTCTGGTTGGGACATATTCTAGATACGAGTAAGAAAGAGCCACACATGACACACATCATTCCACTTTCCAAATACTTGCCCTTTTTTTTACTCCACATCTTTTCCTTATTTTCCTCTTACCTGTTGAGGTTCATCTTTGATGACACCAGTCTTTCCCAACAGAATGCGACTTTTTTTCAGTGCGGTCTCTTTCTTGTTTTCTTTTGAGGGTGAATGAGAGGCTCTCTCTTCTTTTTCATCTGGAATCTCTGGAAACACAGATCAAAGTCAAATGTTAGGTTCCATGTACACTTCTTTTTACAAATATTTTCTGTAACAGAACCATGAGGTTCTGTTAATGGCCCTTTATTCTTAATTAAAAACTAACCTTTAATTAAATCAGTGGTTCTCAACCAGGGGAGCCTCAAGATGACTTAAAAGAATAATTCAGCCAATACTCAGTAGTTCAGTCAGTAGTATTTTTTTTCTTTCCTTGAAGAACCAAGATACCCATGGTCTTGGAAAACCTGGATATATGAGGTAGCCTAATTTTTAAAGTGTGATTTTTTTAAGTTAATTACATTTTTAAATTAATTTTAATTAAAAATATTTTTGAGAATCTTTCTCTTTAATTCTTATCCAGCAAATCATGAAAAACAGAAAAAAAGTCACAGGGCGACAAATATTGTTGTAAACAGTAGAGGGCCTTGGACACAAAAAGGTTCAGAACCACTGCTGTAAAGACAGAACTGAAATAGGTATAAAATGTTATAGAATACCGAGTATGATGTTTTCGTCATTGGGGTCAAGGGTGAGAATGGGAGGAGAAGGGAGGCAGTCCATGCGCTGGTCATCCCAGATTATGTTATCTTCCCAACGGCCATAAACAAGCTCCTCGTTATCAATCGGGAATATGGAGAACCATGGGGTGTCATCCTCATGAGCGGCTGTTACAAGATACAAATTCAGTTTGTTTTATTCTTAGCCCTAAAGAGTGGATATTAACCTCACAGAATCTACCAAACTTTAAACATGACCCACAAAACAAACAGAGGACGGTACCTTGATGATCATGATTATGTTTGTCCCTCTTTGAGCCTGATATTGATAGAGTTTTGGCCAAAGGTGGTGGGGTTGGAGGAACCAACAGAGAATTACTGCGACTTAGACCTGGAAAACATTCATACATTCATTCCACAGACCAGTGAGGGCCTGTCTATAAATGTGTGTTTTTTATATCATGCACTGTCAATGTGACCTTCTCTGTTTGTTTGTTGCATTATGGCTATGTTATCTCACCCTGCTGAGCATTGTAAGCATTGGCATTACGGGTCATGCTAGTAGGCAGCCACCCAGCCAGACTGGCGCGCTGAGTTTTAGTGCCCTTGTGTTTCACATCTTCTCCATTCCAGATGATATCTTCCTCCCACTGCAGCTGGGTCACCATTAAAAACAACTCATCCTGCATTGGAGACGCCTCATCCTCCTGCTAACACACACAGACAGAAACACACATGATTAACTTAGTTGCGTAACTATTACAACTTAAGGGGCGGTCACACTAGACTTTGAATGTGCAAATTTTTTTTGGACGCTGCTGCGAATATGGGCGGGAGCAGGATAGGACAATAATAATACACTTGTGTATAATAATTATATTGTTCTCTCTCTCTCATATATATATATATATATATATATATATATATATACACATACACTAAGCAAAAAAAAATGATAAAATGTGTCCGCATTCAAATGTACTGTCTGTTCCTGTTTCCATTGACACCGCGAACCATGCAGCTTCTTTTTTTATTTTATTTTTTTATAATCTTTTAAAGATGTATTATATAAAATAGGACGCTGCGCTACAGCTAAAATGAGTGCGTCCTCAATTTTTTAATTTCTGTACAGAGAGGTCACGCAGTGACGTATCAATCTTCTACTGGTCACACGTCTTCACGTGATGCGAATTCGCAGGTCAGAGTTCACCAAACTTGAACTTTGGAAGGCAGCAAAATGCTAAATTTTTCGCATGAGCTTGCGTTTCCGGTCTGACGCATTCGCATGCATATGAATGGAAGTCAATGGAACGAAAAGTGCAGTGTGACCGCCCCGTTACTGTGCCTTTAATTTCACTGTGAATTAAAGGGTTAGTTCACCCAAAAATGAAAATTAGCCAGTTTTACTCACCCCCAAGGCATCTTAGATGTATATGACTTTCTTCTTTCAGACGAATCCAATCAGAGTTATATTAAAAATGGTCCTTGCTCTGCCAAGCTTTAGAATGGGAGTAGGTGGGTGTTTTTGTTCAACAGTCCAAAAGAAGTCAAATAAAGTGTGCACATTCATAATAAAACGTGCCTCACACGGCTCCAGGTGGGGAATAAAGGTCTCCTGTAGCGAATCGATGCATTTTTCTAAGAAAAATATCCATATTTACAACATTATAAACACTTTTCTCTCACTTCTGCCAACTCATATGTGCGAGCCATTTGGGGCGGATGACATAGGGCGTATGCATCGCGCACATGCCTGATGGGTGAACGGCTTCCGCATATGACAGTTAGTGGAAGTGAGAGAAAAGTGTTTATAACATTTTAAATATGGATATTTTTCTTACAAAAATGCATGAATTCGCTACAGGAGGCCTATATTCAACCCCCGGAGCCATGTGAGGTATGTTTTATTATGGATGCGCTTTATTTTACTTCTTTTGGACTGTTGAAAAAAAACACCTGCCTACTGCCATTCTAACACTTGGAAGAGCAAGAAAATGTTTTAATATAACTCTGATTGGATTCATCTGAAAGAAGAAAGTCATATAAACCTAGGATGCCTTGAGGGTGAGTAATACATGGGCTAATTTTCATTTTTGGGTGAACTAAGCCTTCAAAAAACTATTTGAAACATTTCTATCCTCCTTACTTTGCAAGTAAGCTATTTTTGTAAACGTGTGAGACTTACAATTCATTAGCAGCTACAGGTAAATAACTAAAGCAAAGGATAAAACGGTAATTTTGTGCTACAAACCAGTGTGTTTAAGATTATGATAACAAATTAAAATAACATGATAACAAATACCAGTCTGTGATAACCAGCAAAATGGCCTGCTTTTGTAAAGGTAAAATAACTGGAAGTGAATGAAACCCTTGCATATTTAAGTTATAAATGGCCGTATTGCTCTTACAATAAAAATAAGGCAGACAGACTTCAACTAGTATTATCTTTATATTACTACTGAAATTAAGATTATTTAAAATCTATATATATCTTTTTAGATTTTCTTTTCTTTTTCCTGAATACTTCTATTTAGCTTTAATATATTTGTTTATTAAGTTTACCTTTTTCAGTTACTTTCCAAGGCTATGTTTCTAGTTTTCATTTCAGCTTTCAATCTAATATTTCTATTTTAGCTTTCTTTCAAGTAATAAACTATTTTTAGCAGATTTAGTTTTATTTGCCATAAAGAGCACTGACCTCAGCATGTGCTTCTTGGGGTGGTTCCTGCTCACTGTCTGGTTCAGCAGCTGGAGGGTTTGCAGTTTTAGCTGCTGTATCAGTAGTGTCTTGCTTTTGGTCATCTCCGAGTTTAAACCCATAATGGAAGCCACTGCCATCCTCTGGGACACCAAGCATGTCGTACCAAAGCTGTGCTGGACCATAACGCCACTCAGCCACCTTTGGCCTTACCTCAGATACCTTATCACCTTCACCAGACACTTGCAGGAACTTAGACTCCACCGGAGCCATCATGGTGATCTACAGAGCACAAGCAGAGTGTCTTCTTTCTGATCCCATCATAATATAGGCCGATTTTCTGAAGCGGCCAAGTGGACATGAAATGTTGCATATGTCTGGTTTACCTCATCATCAGACAAGCACTGCTCTGGTGGTGGAGGTGGTGCATACTCATAGTCCCATCCTGACTTTTTCTTAGCCCCTGGCTCAGGTGGCTGTGATTCGTTGTCACCTGTAGCCATGTCTGACTGTGGCTCTCTCTGCTTCCGTTTCCGTTTCCTGCGAGCACTTCGCCATACTGATGGCATGTTCTTACCAGGACCAAACAACCGCAAGAACCGCAACACCTGATAGAACCAAAACTTGGTTCACTCACCATGAACCACTGCAAACAAACTAATAGTGGACAAACTAACTTTGGATTATTTCTAAGAGATATTGTGTAACATTCACCCTTCCAGGTCTGAACTCAGGGAACAGCTCTGTGACTCCAGGCAGGGCTTTAGCAGCATCTTTCTGCATAATGCCCGCAAGAGGGAGGGTAAGACACCTTGCCTGTCCTCCTGACCCTGAACCCTGAGACGGTCGATCGCTCTCACTCTCGCTGTCTGATGAACTGCTGAAATCAACCTTATCACCCACCGACGATGGAGCGATGATGGAAGGTAGGATAATGCCATCACCTTCATCTGTCACTAAAAATTATAAAAAAAGAAATAAGAACAGCACTCACAAAATTCAGACTGATTCCTTATCAATCACAAGTCTCATTTACCACTGCTGTTCTGAGTGGCTGTGTCTTCTTTCTTGGCAGGGGTTGGCTGACTAGGGGGAGGGGGAGGCGGCATGAGTTTGGCATCAACATCTTCACAATCAGCATCATAATCTTCCTCTTCGTCTACACACCAAAATACACACACGTCAGCAATGAAGTTGTGCATATACTGTACTTCACTGTGTTCTGCACCAGTTGCGCCTGTATGTACCTGTTCTCCGTGATGGCTGCAGGTTGCCCATGGCCTGTCTGTATTTGCGGGTTTCATCTTCTGCAACTTCACTGATATCAGAGTAATCAACTGCATCTTCTGTGCTCCTTACCCATCCTACATTCACACACACAAATAGCTCACAAAGTTAGGTTATTTTATCACTTCTCCTCTAAATGCACAAATCTGACACATGGAGTGAAGTTTTCCAAACTACAGAAACACAGACAGACCCTCTGCATCAGTGTTGCTCTGGTCTTGCTCTTGCTCAGCCGTGTCCTCCTCACTGGCTGTGATCTCTGTAATAAGTGAACCCAAACCCAGAGTGCCCAGACCAGCTAGGTGCTTCTTTGACTCCTGATAAAGAGAAAGCGACAGTTGACAAGCATATATTGATTATTCCTTCTTAATCTCTCTCCACTAAAGGCATTCAGCGCAAAAAGTCTGTGGTTTCACTGGAAGATTGAATTATGACATTTTGATTAAAAATGAAAAAAAGGTACAAATGAAAAGTGTGCATGAGTGAATCATTCACAATAAGATTAATAACACACATTTAATTTCAATGGCAAATTTCAAAAACAAAAAAGTTATTGATTTACTGCGTCAAGAGCAGGGATTTATTCTCTTACCGTATCCAGCACACTGTCATCTTCCAGCTGTCCATTCTCATTTATGTTTCCAAAGAGAAACCCTGTTAGGTGGAAGGGCCGGTCCTGGTCCTCATCACTGTCCGAGTCTGACATTCTACACACACAAAAACATCATATCATTCATCAGCTCACCAAACCTTCATGTATATTATAATCCTGGCACAGCTATTTATGCAAGTCATTTAGCAGTCACTTTTTTTTTTTTACTCTCCCTTGCTGCTCCCTTTGGGAGTCAAACCTGCAACCTTTCAGATTTGAGTTTTTGCCTAATATAAAACAGACTTGAGTATAAAGCAAATTAATTTCTATAAAGTACATCACTGCTACACAGTTTATTCAGGAATTACTGCTGGAGTATACGTAATCTTCTGATGACAACACAAGAGCTGTATAGAAAAAGAGAAAGAGGCGGTGTTTCCACTTATGTCTTCTTTCACGTGTATGCACATTTCAAGACACTGTTATAATTATGTTCTTTGAGAGCACGTACCTGCTCCTCTGTTGCTGTTATCTCGAAGGCCTCTGGAACCTCGGGCTCGAGTGAGAATCTGATCGAAGGAGGAACTCCCTGACCCCGGTCGATTAGCGGTTAGCAGATAGCTAAACGGGAACGCGCGAAAGCATGTGCGCTTAACTTAGTCCCGTTCAAGAATATTATACGCAAACTTAGTTTATTTAATGCAGATACAAAGAAACCTCAAACTCCTTTTGCAATGAATGAGCTTCTGCTGCTGAATGTGCGGGCAGTAGCATCTGTGTGCGTTTCGTTTCTGTTTGTTTTGTTCGGAGCTGATCCGGTTTGTTTGGCTCCCCCTGTAGGTCTAAAGATGCAGCCACATAACATTAAATATTTACTGAATTTTTCTCTGTTCAGTTTAATTACGAAAAAGACGACAATTTTCTCAGTTAACTTAATTAAAATTGGACCAATCAAAAGCAAAACTCCAGCGGCTGGTTGCACAAAAGGTTTAAACTAGTTTTACAAGTTAGTCATCTAATTTTTTCTGTAAGACTGGTCATGATTTTTTTTTATTCGGTTACATGAAAAGTAGATTAGTCTAAATTGAATCCAAAAAATAAAACTGATTACTCCTTGGCTGCTAATTGGTCAGACTAGATCTTAAGACACTGTGTTAACAAACATAGAGGCTAAGTTTATGCAACTGGCCCCAGAAGACTCAGAGAAATAGACCTATTCAATGAATTACGGTTTTAAAGTTTTCCCCGAGGCAGATTATTTTGGCAATACCGTAGAAGAATGTTGGCTGTAACAATTTTCATTCTTGAATACTTTCATGATCTTAAATATTAAACTGTTTTTAATATTTATTATTAAATATTATTAATATTTACTATTTATTAATTATTCTTTTATTACACATACCAATTAACCACTTTTTTTTTTTCAATGAATAATGGTGGCATAGTTTACTTCCAACTCGTATACTAACTATATGAAAATATAAGTGGTTTCCATCTTTATTAATAAACATGTCTACATATAAAAATATCTCTAAATTAATTTCACAGCCTTTTTGTTTAATCTTGCAGTGGTTTGATTGAATCAGTTGTGGGTTGAGAGATCAAACACTTAAATGTTACATTATCCATGACCATGAACATGAAATGAACTCTGTGCCAACCAACCCCTACTTACTTGTAAAAGACATCCTGTCCTAAAACAAATGTTAAGCATTCAGACCTAAACATTAGATCATTACTCTAAGAACAATGCCTCAACACAAATCACACATACACAGCTGACGGTTTTGTTTATCTGTGAAAGCATTGTAAAGAATGTCAGAGATGCAGCTGTTCTCTTTCTCCCACTTGTTCGTTCACATTCCCTTTCTCCCTGCGTTTATGTTTATGTCATGAACAAATCTGAGGTCAAAGAACAGGAGCCAACCATTCTTTTACTTTAAAACTAGTTTATTTTCTCATGCAAGTGGAGGTATATTCTTAAAATAATGACAGTTTCAAGAAATAAAAACAGCTTTAATTAAAAAGAGCCAATTTTGGTGTGTTATGTCCTAAAAACAAAATAAAAATAATAATAAAACGCTGATGTTTATCATATAAAATGTAGACAGTCAATATATAAAATGTAAATGTGGACCCAAATGAAGCCTAAACCTGAATGTTTGTGCACATGATGTTTCATTGTAACAGAGATGAAAGACAAGAGTGTTTATCTTCTTATTAGGGCACTTCATTGGAGTGGATCAACATTCATGGTAAAATACAAATAATACAAAATATTAGTGGCACTTCAGTTTCAAAAACAGGGTTGTAAATTGTGAGGATTCAGGCACAGTGGGCCAAATATAAAGATCTTCATTTCTACCTCAAGAGTGTTATAAAACAGCACTATATCCCTTCATTTACAGCTCTAATAGAAGGCAGGTGAGCTACAACAGCTCTCTGTAAACTTTCAACAGTCCTTTCCAGCAATAAATGTCAACTGGCACCCAAAGTAGCACCCTAGATGAAATGAGCAGAGAGGAAGGAGTTTATGAGATGTCAGAGAAGGGGCCAAGCACTAAAGGCACACTGGGATTCCACAGCGCTTCCTGATTAAAAAGTCGATCAACTCTACAAAGGCAACAATACAAGAAAAATGGCATGTTGTGGTAAGTGTAGGTCATCAAGTCTTAGGGTCTCACATTAAAATACCACGCATATCAGGTGGATTGTGAGCCCTGATAATTGTGTTACTGATGTGGTAAGGGAGAGACAGCACCTTCAAGACATCCAGTCTGAATTTAGACTGAATTTACACTTTGGTGCATGAAATATCCTCTGAGTGATTCCTAAAAAATATGCTGGGGTTTTAAGGCTTTATAGGAAGGCAGAAGTTGTCAATGCCTGTTAGTCCTTCAGACAAATCCACTCCACTGCCTTGGTCTGCCTGACTTTAGATTACAACACCGTATTTCTGTCTTGGACATGTACGGAAAGTTGAAACACAAATACACAAAAGCACAGAGTCTCAGTCTTCCTCATTAACAGTCTGTACACCTATTGCTAACTGTAGTGTAGAGATATGAACAAAAAGTGACAGCAACACACATTTGCAGAGACGATCACATGACTAACTGATATTCCACCCTTCATAAAATCTCTCTCACGCACACACCCTCAAGTAGTTATAACAGCACACATTTCTTGCTGTGCTTCTTGGCATTGGGGTAGAGAACAGCCCTGACTGCTTCGTTGAAGACCTCTCTGACCCCCTCCTGCAGAAGGGCCGAGCACTCCAGATATCGCACCGCACCGATGCTGCGGGCCAATGCGCCGCCCTGCTGCGGAGTGGTTGGACTCATCCCCTGCTCTTTCAGCTTCTCCAGGGTCTCCTTGTCTCCCCGCAGGTCTCTCTTAGTGCCTACCAGCAACACAGGCACACCAGGACAGTGGTGGCACACCTCCGGGTGCCATTTATGCCGGACATTGGCATGAGAGGAAGGGCTGGCCACAGAGAAACAGATGATGAAGACATGCGTCTGTGGGTAAGAGAGGGTTCGCAAGCGGTCGTACTCCTCCTGACCGGCTGTGTCCCACAGGTTGAGGCTGACGGCACGGCCGTCCACACAGGTCTGAGTGCTGTAGTTGTCGAAAACCGTAGGAATGTACTCATCTGGGAAGGCATTAGTAGTGTAGGAGATTAACAGGCAGGTCTTTCCCACTGCACCATCACCAACAACAACACACTTTATGGTCTGCATTTTGTTGCCTGGCACAGGGATCCCTGAAAGATAGATAGATTTCATAACTCACTATACATGTAGCAGACTTTGCAGGCAACAGCCCAGACAGAAAAACAGCAGTCAGGACTTCTATACAACAGGGAAATTGGCAGTTTGTCCATATAAATCGAATACATATTATTTTTACATATGAGACCTCTGCAAGCAACAAATACCCAAAACAAAGTAATAAATCTGTTCAGCTAGTACGTTAGCAGCTGATCCGCTAAATAAAACCGGCAATTATGGGATTAAGTAAGGCAGCATCACATCACCGTTGCTCAAAGTGTATTTTTTTAAAGTAAAACTCACTGTGTTTGGATGGTCTGGAGAGCTTGATGAGTGTTTCCTTTGAGCTGCTCAAGTTTCCATCATCGCAGCGGCAAAGGCGCTTTGCTAACCGACTAGCGGATGAGCCTCACATTAATCAGTTATTAAACATGGACCAACAAATCCCGGAGGTCTGCAACTACGTGTAACAACCGTACAAAACCTGTACACACGTACAAAGTCTCGAAATACTTTCAAATGAACATCTTTTGTGGTAATTAAAACTAATTATTCTATGTATTTCGCTGTCCTTTTCTCTCACTGGCTCATTCTTCAACTTACGGGTAACGGAGACGACATTGGGGAACACGCCCATGTCGCAAAAGCTTGTGGGAAATGTAGTGTAGTTTCACAGTAAAAACTACAAATGTTCGTATTTACATTTATGTAGTCATAAATTACTATAATATTAATATAAATACAGGTATGATTGGCTTACGCGATTCATTTACTAAATGTATCATCTTTATATCGGTTTAACACAACAATGAGAATATATTCTAGGCTTCTTTTTACCTTTTATCCACATATGCAGGTTTCATTTGTAATTAACACAAATGTGAATTAAAACAATGTGAATCTAAGTCCTTTACGGCTCGCGCTTTACGGTAAGCTGCACGACATTGTGGCCCACGCAAAGGCCTTTGGGAAATGTAGTGTAGTTTCGGTGTAAAAATGACAATATTAGCGATGTGTGCTTGGTCTTTCATACTGACTTATGCAGTGAATCAACTAAACCACGATTGTAAAAAAAAAAGACTGTATAAAAGTATTACACCAAGAATAACGTGTCATTTTGCCAATTCACCACAGTTCAGGGTGTGAGCAGACTGATAGGACTCACGTCAGAGTTATGATTTTTTACTCAAAAATACTTCTTCGATCGTTTTGTATTTTATATAAACGTTATACTTAAATAATTTAAGATAATTACAAACAATTACTTAATAAATAATAAAAGTTAAAAATCAGATTTGTATTTTGATTTGTGTTTTTGATTTGTATTTTGAGTAAAAGGTGTTTACCTGCTCTCTCACCTATAAGCTGCTGCTCTGTGTTTCAGAATATGGACTTTACCTCGTCCTATCCTTTCCTCCTTTTCATCTCTCATCATGGACTATCGATACAGTCATAAATTCCTACATTATGTCTATTTACAGTATTTTACTGTCCCATAAGCCACACAAAGTATTTTACTTAAACTATTGAATTAAATGCTAAGGAGTTAAGCATGTTATAATTTTTTTAATTAAAGTGTTGATCGGTAATGTCTGGACGACTATGTCTGCCATAGGTATATAAAATAATTATTATATACATTATAAAAATAAGTAAATAATATTTTTAATATCCCTTCCCCAGAGTAAACTGAAGAAGACGTCATGCTCCAATGTGTAAGAATATACACGGCGTGGCTACAAACGACTATGACTAAAAATGACTAAAACATCAGCCAAGTTTAATTTATCTAACTATTCTGCATTGTATTATAATCACCTGTCACCAGTTCGCGAGCAGTGTAGAAATGCTGTTAGCCTGATGGGGGCGCCAAACCACAGCGTCTTATCATCACTTAACTTCACTATCGACCAAAGTAGACTGATAAAAACTTGCCGCAGAGTAATGGCGACGTGGGCCAAGTTAGGCGTTAGTTTGCGGAGTACAATCAGACGTTTCTGGCCTCTCAGAAACATAGGATATGGTCGTGCTGTTGGAGGGGGTCTTCTGGGCACTGTTGTAGCAAGCGGATTTATTCACTATAAAAATGAACTCTTGCCACACATCGTGTACGCGGAGGACGCGAAGGTAAACAAACATCTCTAAATAGAGACTACTTTTCAAATGACTTCTCAACTACTTCGAATGTCATGTTGTCTGTGAAGTTAAATGCTTAACGGACGCCCTGTCATGTCGTGTGTTTGTTCGTGAAGTCACTATGTTTATACAAGTATCCGTTTTAAGTTTAAATATTAAAGTGGAACCAACCGATTTACACTCATTAAACGAATCAGCTCGTGTTTTATTGAAGTGTGTCTAAACTGTAGCCTATGTGGAGTCTCAGTAAATCCTAATGTCTTATTGTTGCAAATGTTTGTTTATGTACACATATTTTCGATAGTGTGGACAGTAGCACGGTTGCCATCACATTGTAACTTAGGTGGTGGAGCTCTATAGTGTCGTAGCAAACTGTAGCTACTATGTGGCAGCTAGATTACACTTACATTTACATTTAGTCATTTAGCAGACGCTTTTATCCAAAGCGACTTACAAATGAGGACAATAGAAGCAATCAAAATCAACAAAAGAGCAACAATATGTAAGTAGAAATGTCAAGTCTCGGTTAGCCTAACGCAGTACAATTTATTATTATGTTGAAAACAAATGAGTAGATTTTTTTTTCAGGTTTCTTTGATGAGTTCAGAAGAACAGCATTTATCTGAAATAGAAATCTTTTGTAACATTATAATCTTTTTGATCAATTTAAAGCATCCTTGCTAAATAAAAGTATTATAAATAAAATAAAATTGCAGTGCTAAATAAAATGTCTATAATTTCTTTCCCCCCCCAAAAAATTATACTTGCTCCAAGCTTTTGAATGGAATAGTGTATAATGTTTAAAAGCTTTTTATTTTCGGATAAATGCTGATCTTTGGATCTTTCTATTCATCAAAGAATCCTGAATAAATATATTCTCAACTGTTTTAAATATTGATAATCAGCAAATCAGCATATTAGAATGATTTCTGAAGATTTAAAATGACTGCATTCAAATAGAAAGCAGTTATTTTAACTAGTAAAAATAATTCAAAATGTTACTGTATTTGCTGTACTTTGGATCAAATAAATGCTGACTTGGTTAACAGAAGAGAATTCTTAAAAAGATAAAAAATAAAAACCATTAAAAATCTTACAGTTCAAAAAGTTTAGACTCGTAGTGTAGGCTGATTATACTTATAGATTGAAACAAATGTGCTTCAGCCAGGATAAAGAATATGAAAAGTGCTCTGAGTTGCGGCAGAAAACAAAAAAATGAGCAACAACAAAAACATGTTGCTGGAGACGGGTTTATTATTGAAAATGCTAATTCATTATCTGCCAGCAGGAGGCGCTTTTAGCGGTTTCCCCGGTAACGGCTGTAATCAAAGCAGCTCCGCTCTTGAACACTACTTTATCAGATAAATATGAAAATGTCATCGAAACTTTTCTGAAGACAGTCGGGTCCCTTCAGAGATACATTCATATAAAACACCCACGCTGTGTTTTGATTTTGAAATGTGCAGTGCTCATGTTTATTCAACGAAATCAAATGCCACAAATAAATCAATGTATGGGAAACACTGGTAATGTATATCGGAAATGTGTTTAAAAATCATATTACCATTATTGAAAAAAATTATATCACAATACATATTGATATTGAATTATTGTCCAGCCCTAATATATATATATATATATACACACACACACACACACAAAGAAAAACAAGTAGATAAAATAGAAAGCTAGTGTTTTTTTAATTAAAAAGAAGATAAATAGATAAAGTAGAATTAAAATAGCATAGAAAGTGCTAGAGTTAGAGGGTCAAATAAAGATGGAACAGATGTACAATTATATAAGATTACATAATTAAATGTATCATTAATGGCTCATTATGTGATTCAAATCTGGAAAATCTACAGAATTAATTTAAACAGTAAGATGTTACAATGAGAGCCAGGAGTTCATTATTGAAGTAAATATCCATGACCACATATTACTGTAGTTATGAAAATTCAGTAAACGGCTTAAACTTTTTCAAGGTAGTCTTATGATAACAGGTGTTTTATTCATTGCAAACCTTTGCTGAAGAAAAATATTTTTATTTCATAATTGTTGTGCAAAAAAGTAACAAGTATAAAATCTTAAGTCCACTTTTGGCTCTCTTTCAGTATTATTTTAGTATTTATATACTATTATAGTATTTATTGATATTTTAAATTAGTTTTTACTTTTATATTTATATTTAATATTTTAATTTTACTTTTTAGAATCTTGTGTGCAGTTGGCTTTTTTATTTTTTATTTTTTTTTTAGTTAACTTAAAAAATGTAAAATTAGTTTAAAATTTAAACTTGTTTTCATCTTATTTCCATTATTTGTCAAGCCAACATTTTAAGTTTTTTAAGTTTTTCATCTAATATTTAAATTTTATATTATTTCAGCTTTTTTTCTAATAATTTGTTTGTTTAATTTTAGTCAAAAACAACGTTGCTCCCCTTCTTGCTTTGTGCTTAAAGACATAAAATTGTCACCTACTTTTTGTTTAAAATGACACTGAATTGACTGAAATTTCCAGTTTCAACATTATTTAAATTTAGTACAATTAATTCTATAGATAGATTCATAATTCTAATGTTTCTAATGAGTCCAAGTCTAGCTCTAAATAAAATAAAGGTGCACTGCTCATAAATAAAACATCTGCTCTTTCTCTCCATTTTTTAAAATCTGTAAAGAAAGAGGAGATCACAGTACCACCAGTGTCCATGAGACGCCTGCGGTTTAACCTGTTTGCCTCCATGATCTATGAAGAGGAGCCATACATGACACCCAGAGACTTCCTCCATTCAGTCCTGATGGAGAAGGTGGATCGTAAGTGACATGCCGCCATATGGATGTGCGAACATTCAAAAACAAAAAAACATACACTAGGGAGGCAGTATTATGTATACATTATTATGTAATATTGTGCTTGCATTTTTATTCTATTAGACATTTGGGTTACACTTTATTTTAAGGTGTCCTTTTGACAGTGTAATTACACAACTAGGTGATTAATATTAATAAACAACATGTATTTACTATATGGTTAGGGTTTGGTTTAGAGTTAGTTGCATGTAATTATGCATAATGTACTATTATTTCTATAGTAAGTACATGGAACACTGTCAAATAAAGTGTTAGCCACATTTGATTTTATGTAAATATAAACTCCTTATGAGGGCTGTTATCAACAAAATTCTCATAACATGCATCTTATCAAAGCAATCTTACAGCGAGAGGCCAATCAACACAAAGACCCTAAAATGCTGAAATGTACGTTCTTCTCACTTACATTCTTATTTATATAAGCGTGTTTCTGGTTTGAGTGTGCATCTGAGGGAAAATGCTGTTTATCTGGCGGTAATCACCTCTGCATGTTAGGCCTTGTATTCATAAAGTGGGCTTAATAATGTAATCCAATATCTCTTCAAACACCACTACATGCCTCAAAGCTATTTTTCTGTTGATTTTCAGGAATGCTGCAAAATATTGTTAAGCAATCCTTGATCTTTCTCTTTTACAGGCAAACT